TGAAAGTAAATTTTAAAATCGAGCCATATTTGGTTTAAAGCAAACTCAGGATACTCCTTTTAGCAGATAATGTGTGCTATGGGTCCTTTCACAATCTGATATGCGTTACGGAGGTAACCAAATAGAAGACTCTGATGTGGAATGGTTTTCTCTTGCTCAGGTGGCCAGTAGGTTAGTTAAAAAATTTGTGTGTAATGCCGAAAAGATTATTATGAAGGAAGTACTTCATGGTATTTTCCTGTATTTATAGGTACAGAAAGAACACCTATCTTTTCATCTACTACTTAATCCAGTTCTGTGGCCATTCATGGATATTTACCAATATGACAGTGCGGTTCTTTTCATTTGGAGAAGGTAAAACTTCAAAACCGTTTTGGATTTTTAACTTTCAATACTTGTTTTCACCTAGTCCTGCTTATGTTAGTTTTTCAACTTCTGTAAACATCACCTAGTATCCTTCACTGCTTTAAAATTTAGTAGCCATATTTTTCAGTAACCTTACTTTTTGCTCATTGCAAAAACCAAAACCTTTTTGGAAAAGGGGGCAGGTGAGGTGAGGGACAGGGACTTGGCTTCCCTCTGACTAGGCAGTTTGCCCTGAAAACACAGACATTGGGGTGGTTCTGTCTGACTCTTCCTTTTTGGTTCTGCGGCAGACCTTCGCAGACTTGGTGGGTTTTGAGGAAATCTGTAAATTCCAGTATAACATTTTGTGCAGAGAACTCAGGAATTAACCAAATTCTTCCCTTGTTTTTTTTTTATTCCCCAGGCTTAAGATAACTGGAGACTACCAGTAAGTGAAAGACAAACTGTATAGACCTCAGGGTTCTATTTGGTCCCCTTAAGAAGTAATGTGTCCCTAAGTAAATGACAAACCTTAGAGATGACTCACCATCTATATGGGAGTTGGTATTAATGGTTAAAGTCATGTTGCCTCCAGTTTTCTAAAAAGTAAAGGTTTTAACTAGCATTTCAATTTTTAAGAAATGAATCACTAAGTGACTGTCAAAATAACATTCTTTTCATGTTCCATCCCCACATGGGTAAGTGTCATCACAGTTTACAACTGTTGGGTGACTTGACAGTTTGAGCAACTGCTAGTTTCAGCTAGAAACAAACACATAGAATATACCCGGGAAAAGTCATGCTGTGCTCATCAATTCAGACTTCTATATCATAAGGAAATTAATCTAATTCCGAGGTGCCATAACTATTTTAGGTTGCTTTTTCTTACTGTGAATCTGCAGTTAAATTCTTGCCCTCAGCAACCTCCAAAGATACAACCTAAGGCTTGAATTTCAACTATGAATGTTGGGAGTCTTCAAGCAGAGGAAAACATGAGCGATGAGAAAACGTCCCTGCATGTTTATAGGAAAAAAACCCAACACTTCTAGGCCTTGAAAGTTAGCTGAGGCTTTGTGGGCATATTACAAGTCATTCATGCCAAGAGTTACAAGCAATGAACTCTTTCTTATCCTGCCTGGCCTTTCCAGTGGGAAAAATTGCTTTAGTCAGCAGTGTGTGTCTTTCTTAATTATTATCCTACTGTTAAAATTGGAGAAGCCTTTTACTAAAGCAACACAACCATTCATATGGAAAGCAGACCAAAAACCACTAAGTGGGAGTTCAGTACAATTCCTGAGTCAATGTATAAATTAAGTAGCTTAGTAGCTATCTCATCACCTAAAGAGTAACACCTGCTACCTTCCCTGTCACAGAGCTGTGTAATTGATGATGCTCTGTTGTAGCAAGTGCAGGGCAGTGGATGACAGCGCAGACTTCTGGGCCTCAGGAACCATCTGTGAAATGGGGATGATGCTAATAGTGCTCACCTGCTAGAGCTGTTGAGAAGAGAAACCCTTAGTGCTCCATAAATTATCATGTGAATGATCCCTGGGCAGGAAAGACAGCCAAGTCTTCCCTAGATGTTTCTTAACATGGTGGGATTTCATTTTAAAATTTAAACCAACAGATTTATCATATTTAGAGAAACAGTTGTTTCTTTCCTATTTCCGTTCTTTCCAAATGCAGTGTGGGCTCTCTGCAGTGCAGTCTCCAAAAGTCCCCACCAAAGGCCCAGGTTCTAACCAAGGTCTAGAAGGCACTAACCAAGTATGTATAGGACACTAATAAGATGTTATTAAACATGACATCATTATAATGTCCTTTCCATAAAGCTTCTCTAGAATCATAGTTTTCTCATCTTTGTCATTGTCTTGTCAAAAAGGTGTGAGCACACCAGCTTCTTTAATAAGCTTATCTCCAACCTGTTTACAGTTGATAGAGTCTAGATTCTACTGGGTTACTTTTATGCGGTAATTGCTTTATAACATATATGGGGAATTATAATATATATGGAGAATAAATACTATAGCTTTGGCCATGGGCTTTCTTTTTCAAATTTTTACTTTTTTAGAAGAGCAATTAAGATGGACTACAATATGAAGTGCTTTCTTTGGTTGCATAGTGTTCTTTTTTTTTTTTTTTTAAAGATCTTATTTATTTGAGAGAGAGAGAGAGCATGAGAGGTGGGAGGGTCAGAGGGGGAAGCAGACTCCCTGCTGAGCAGTGAGCCCGATGTGGGACTCGATCCCAGGACTCCAGGATCATGACCTGAGCTGAAGGCAGTCACTCAATGAACTGAGCCACCCAGACACCCGGTTGCATAGTATTCTTAATAATTTAGTAGCTGTTAGGAAATTTCTCACATGTACAATGAAAAAAGTAAATAATCACAATTTTTATTTCAAAATGCTGTATAGATTTGGGTTGTGACCTAATTTTTACTTACTGTATCTATTTTTAATTCCCTGGATGCAGATTCCATGGTTGACACTTTTTATGCTATTGGTCTTGTGATGCGCCTTTGCCAGTCCATTTCCCTCCTGGAGTTGCTGCACATCTGTGTTGGCATTGAACCAAACCATCTCTTTCCTAGGTTTCTGCAGGTAGGTTTTGTTTTGTTTTTAATAATATCACTGGGGTCACCTGGGTGGTGCTGCCAGTTAAGCAGCCAACACGTGGTTGTGGCTCACGTCATGATCTCAGGGTCCTGGGATCGAGTCCCACATCGGGCTCCCTGCTCCTTGGGAGCCTCCATCTCCCTCTGCCTGTCTCTCTCTCTCTTTCTGTCTCTCATGAATAAATAAATAAAATCTTTAAAAAAAAACAAAACAAAAAAAACACATGATATTATTGACTATATTCTCTATGCTGTACTTTTCATTCCTGTGACTTATTTTGTAACTGAACATTGGTACCACTTAATCTCCTTCATCTATTTCGCCCATTCCCCCAATCACCTCTCCTCTTGCAACCATCAGTTAGTTCCCTGTATAAAGGAGTCTGGGGCCTTTATTATTATTTTTTGGTTGGTTGTTCATTTATTTTTTAGGTGCTACAAATAAGTCAAATTATGTGGTCTTTGTCTTTCTAACTTATTTCACTTAGCACAATACCCTCTAGCTCCATCCATGTTCTTGTAAATGGCAAGATCTCATTCTTTTTCATGGCTGAGTATTACTTGTGTGTGTGTGTGTGTGTGTTTGTGTGTACACACCACATCTTCTTTATCCATTCATCTATGGATGGACACTTGGGGTGTTTCCATAACTTGGCTATTAGAAATAATGCGGCAATAAACATGGGTACATATGTTTTCAAATTAGTGTTTTTGTTTTCTGTGGGTAAATACCCAGTAGTGGAGTTACTGCATTATATGGTATTTCTGTTTTTAATTTTTTAAGGAAACTGCATACTGTTTTCTCCAGTGGCTGCATTAATTTACATCCCCACCAACAGTTGCCTTTTCTCTACATACGTGCCAACACTTGTTGTTTCTTGTCTGTTTGATTCTAGACACTTCCAGGTGTATGAGGTGGTATCTCATTGTGGTTTCGATTTGCATTTCCCTGATGATGAGTGATGTTGAGCATCTTTTCATCTGCCTGTAGGCCATGTGTGTTTTCTTTGAAAAAATGTCTATTCACTTCTGCCCATTTTTTAATTGGATTGTTTGTTTTTCTGGTGTTGTGTGTTTCATATATATTTGGATATTAATCCCTTATCAGATATTTCTCATTCAAATATCTTCTCCCATTCGCTAGATAGCCTTTTTGTTTTGTTGATGGTTTCATTTGCTGTGTGAAAGCTTTTTATTTTGGTGTCGTCCCAATGGTTTAATTTTGCTTTTGTTTCTTTTGCCTGAGGAGACATAGGCATAAATATGTTGCTAAGGCTGATGTCCAAGAGATTACTGCCTGTGTTTTCTTTTAGGAGTTTAACGGTTTTAGGTCTCACACTTAGGTCTTTAATCCATTTTGAGTTTATTTTTGTGTATGGTGTAAGAAAGTGGTCCAGTTTTTTTCTTTGACAGGTAGCTGTCCCATTTTCTCAACACCATTTGTTGAAGAGACTGTCTTTTCCCCATTGGATATTATTACCTCCTTTGTTGAAGAGTAATTAACCATATAATCATGGGTTTATTTCTGGGCTCTCTATTCTGTTCCTTTGATCTATGTGTCTGTTTTTGTGCCAGGACCATACTGTTTTGATTACTTCAGCTTTGTCGTATATCTTGAAATCTGGGATTGTAATACCTCCACTGTGTGGCTCTCTCTCAAGACTACTTTGTCTATTCAAGGTCTTTTGTGGTTCCATACCAATTTTAAGATTATTTGTCCTATTTCTGTGAAAATGTGGTGGTTTTATAGGGTTTGCATTGAGTCTGTAGTCCGCTTTGGATAGTATGGACATTTTAATGATAATTCTTCCATGAGCATGGTTCTGCAGGTAGGTTTTAATCACATTGTCAGTATTATAGTTAGCAGTTGAAAAGCAAAGCCCTGAAAACTTGCAACTCAAGTCACTAGTAAGAATTTATGAAAAAATGACCTCATTCCAGGACACTGCACAGTTAGACTAGCCAGTTGGAAACATTCAGGGCAATGATGCTGTTGCTGTGGGAAGCACTGAGGTGATCTTCTCTTAAGGGGCAGGTTGCACAGCCACTTCCCACTCTCACGGTGCCACTGCCCTGGGCAATGTAGGATGGAGGAGAGTCAGAGGGATAGAGTCATTCAGACTTGGGTTTGACACCTGGCTCCCCTAGCTGTCACTGTGGGATCATATCCACAGTCATAGAGCTGTTTTGGAGGAAAGACACCACACTATCTGGCCAAGAGTAAACGGTCCAGGGGCACCTGGGTAGCTCAGTCGTTAAGCGTCTGCCTTCAGCTCAGGTCATGATCTCAGGGTCCTGGGATCGAGCCCCACATTGGGCTCCCTGCTCTGCGGGAAGCCTGCTTCTCCCTCTGCCTCTGCTCCTCCCCGCCCCTGCTCTCTCTCTTTCAAATAAATAAAATCTTTTTTTTTTTT